AAATATAGTGGAAGAAGAATACTTAATAAAAACATATAATTGTTTATAATAATTTTTTTTATAAGTTGAATTTGTTTTTTAATTCTATAATAGGAAAACTTTGTTTTCATCTCTGAAGCTCAGGGTCTAAGAAAATAGTTGTACGTACCTATCTTGAAAATATCAAATAATATTTACGTATCAACACAAATTTTGCAGATGGCGTTTACAACCTATAAAAATTCAAATTCCCGCGTAATCAATTAAATTATATAAACATATTATTATATAAACCGAATAATTTTCTTCTAAACAATTTAATTAATTTATAAATAAATATTGCCATTCTAATCGATCTAATAAAAAAATTTACTCCAATTACTATTAATTTAACATATTGTAGAGAAAGATCTCATGTTCGAAAGTTTATAGAACCGCCATTGCTATTAAGTAATCTGACAGCGATTCGACGAAATCATTTCTATTGCTAAAATTTTGTAAGTCTGGTGTGCCTTCTCGATAGTAATACGTTTAGTCTGTGATTCGTGACCAAGAATCGAAATCGGAAACTGATCGAAGCAGGAACAGGCATCAACTAGTTCGACCTTAAAAGTCATTTGTCGTTCATCGTATATTTTATAGACGAAAATCTGTGATAATTCCGGAACGCATACTTTCAACTATAATAACATGTCGGATACAAGACGACGGCGAAAATCTAATCAGTCTTGTGGTTCTGATGACCTCTCGGACTCTTGTGAAGAATTAAATGCAACGAAAGAAACCCAGGTTAGCTGCTATAAAGGTGTTTTCGATTTTGCATTTTGAAGAATTGAAATAAATAGTTTTATTCTTTTTTTCACGATTTCACTTCCAAGTTCTTATTGTTCATCAAACTTTTTGCTTCTTATTGAACTGGATTGAAAGTTCAACGGAAGACTCGATTAAGTGGATTAAGTAGACTGCTGTAATACTTTTTCGTAACTAAGTAGACTTTTCTTTGTGTTCGATTCACTGGCAAGTGGTTTTGCGTATTTTATAATTTTAATGCATATAAAAATCCAAATGAGATTTTGTATATTAAATATAAATAAAATGTACTTTCATAATATCAGAAAAAAAATTTCAAAAAATAATTTTTTAACCTGTAAATATCATAATTTATTATAATCCTATTTTTTGTTACTTTATACTTTTTTTTGTAAACTTTTATTTATAGAGCAGTGAACAGACTGATGGTCACCAGGATTCGGAATGTGAAATTTATCCTTCTGATTCTGATGCTGAATCTCAAGATGGTGCATTGCGAGAAAGTGGTGATGGCCAAGAAGAAGAAAAACCACAAAAAAAATTAGATGATGATGAAGATAGACGTAATCCACAATATATTCCTAAGAGAGGGACATTTTATGAACATGATGATAGAACAACTGATGAAGTAATAGATAGTGCTGCTGAATCACAAAGTGAAAGAGAAACCAAAGAAAAAAAAGTGTGGAAAGATAAAGAAGATAGATGGGATCATGATCGATATAATGATGAAGAGCAAGCACCAAAAAGTCATGAAGAATTAATAGCAGTTTATGGTTATGATATAAGAAATGAAGAAGGTCCTCCAAGAGCTAGAAGAAGAAGAAGATATGGGTAAATATATTTTTAAAAGTACTCTAATTTTTATAATATTTTTTTCTTCATATATTATATTTTTATATTTTTATTATATTATATTTTTTAGTCGTGGACCTAATAAATATACACGTAATTGGGAAGATGAAGATGCATATGGAAAACCTGGGAGTAACATTCTAAATAGAAATAGAAGATTTAATAGAAGTGGTGAAGATTTTCCAGCTCTAGGAACAAATAAAAATGCTTCTACACATGTAGAAGAACCAGTAATCTCCTCAGCTTGGTACAGTAGTAAAAATAAATCACAAAATAAAGTACCAAATTTTCCACCTCTACAAACTCAAAATGATAGCTCAAAAACGAAGTCTAGCCATACATCTACTACTCATACGTATGTAATAATTTTATTTAAATTATATTTATTACATTTTTTCATTTATTAAATATATTAAATAAAAAAAGTAAATATTTCAATTTTTTTATTTGTAGAAATGAAAATAAAGCTCCTAATGAACCTACAAATCCAGCTTGGAAAAAAGATACTAAACATTCACCTCATACACAAAATAGTAATGGAAATAGTGGAGCTGGTGGTGATGCCGATAAATTAGTTAACATAAAAACCTCTCCAAGAGATAATAACAAGAGGAACATTCAAGAGTCTGTAAGCTTGGCAGCGAGTAAAACTCGTGGACGAGGATTCAGAACAAATGCTAATAACAATATGGTCACCAATAGAACAGTTGAGACTAAACCAAAGGGACGTGGAGCGGGTCCGATTTCCACAGAAAATAAAAGAAATAATATACGAAGTGATGATGAACAACAAATTACTCATGACATGAAACATGTTAATGTTAATGATAGTGCTCAATATCATCAAAGTGGAAGACATAATAGTGAGTCTTTAATTCATATTTATTTATAAATAATATTATGTATTATTTCGTTATTTAATATTTTTTTAGAAAGCTTTTATGGACAATCCTCAAATCAACAGAGGACAGGAACTGTACCTCCAAGAATGCAACAACAATCTCATTCACAACAACAACAACCACAGCAACAACAACAACAACAATCAATTCAACAGGACAGTTCTGCCAATAGGCCAAAACGTTATTCTAGTTTGCGACAGCGACCTACTATTTCAGATAATCCAGGTCAACAAAATTATCCACCACAACATGGACAACACAATCAACATAGTCAACATAGTCAACATAGTCAACACAGTCAACACAGTCAACATAATCAACATGGCCAACATGGCCAACATGGTCAACATGGATATTTTTCTCCTCAAGGTATATGCATTAAAATTTTTTCTATTGTTTATAAAATATTTTTATGGGTATAAATATGGATAATAATATAAATATATTTATGTTATATTAATATTTAACTTATATGTACATGTATTTAGCTGGAAATTCAAGAGGTGTTTTAGATTCACAAGGTGAGATAATGTAGGTTATTTAAACAAATAATTTTCTATTTATTTCTCTTTCTTTTCTTTTTTTTTTTTTTTTTTTTTTTTGTTAAATAGATATAATCGTTTAAATATGCAGATAATTATGTTTTATTTTTTATTTTATATTATTATTTAATTTTTTTGAGTTTGTGCTTGTAACTGTATTCATATATAGTATCATATTTTTCATTTTTATAGGATATCCTCAAAGTCATTTTGAACAATCTACACCTGTTGCTACTGCAACTGCACCTTTGGCTGGACAACCTGTGATTCCTATACCACCTAATGGTCAACCTGCTAGTTATGCTCCACCACCATTTTTAGTACCACCACCGCAATTTATTCCTCCACAGACTCCAGCTAGTATAATTAATTATGTTTCTGGTCCAAATGGACCAGCATTTCAACCGAATTATCAAGGTTATCAAGGCTATAGCCCACCAGTACAGGTATATACATTATATCTCTTATTAAAATTTCAAAATTATATTATTTTGAAGTTTTCATATGCTTATTTTATGTTTTATAGCCACAGCGTCCTCCACCTCCACAAGAATTGTTCCAACCACAAGGTTGCACTTATTATAGTCCAGCTCAACAACAACAACAATCAGCTCCGATGAGACGGCCAAAGGCAGCTATTCCTATTCTTCCACCACCTGAAAATCAACAACACCAAACCGGACGAGGAAGAGGTAGAAGCACACAGCCTCAACAAATTAATCAACCTGGTAGTATACAACAGACTGAACAAGAAGTTAAAACTAATTCGGTGGAAGACGATCAGAAGATTATATCAGAACAATTTGATAATATGCAAATCGAACAGCCTACAGATGTTCAAGAAACACAGAAAGTCGAAGATACGAGTGTAATAATGAATACTGTGATTGAGAATACTGAAAAAGTTGAGAATATTAAAAATATCGAACCTGAAGCTACAGTGAATTTAGAAAATACTACTGCGGATCAATTAAATGATATAAGTGCTAATGATTCATCTAAAGTCATTATAAATGAACAAGATATTATTCCACTTAAAAGTACGCAAGTAATAATTGAAGAGACTAAAAATGATTCAAATAAAATTGAAAGCACTGCGACTGAAATTACAGCTGTTGAAGAAACAGCAGCTTGAGAGAACATCGCACAGCGTGTAACGTATCTTACAAAAAATGTAATTGTTACGTTTCGTGAGTATGAGTATGCATATATTATTAAATGCTGTGTAATTTTATTGAAGTCTGTATAGCAAAATGATCTTCACAAATTATTTGTGAAATATTATAGGAATTGGATGTGTGCGTGTCTAAAACATATTTTGAATGACTATCTAATTCCATTATATTGTTGTATATTTCGTAGTTTACATTTGTATTAATGTTTCACTACGAATTCCATCAATCTGCTGCTATCATTAAATATCATTCTTCTATATTGTTAAACTCTTTTCATATATGAAATCTACTAATAATTAATTAGTAGAAACGATTAGTGTTAAACATATTATTGTATATCGAGTATTAACGCATGCAGCATTGACTGATGAAATCATTAATAAATCGATATATCTTTTTAATACAATGGCTACTGTAAATAGGATATAGTCAGGTCAGTAACCTTAATATGTGTTATGTCTTTTGTGTACAAATGAGTTTGTACCGTGATTTAAGTAAACGATGAATGAATGGAGTACATTTATTAGGTAAAGAATTACTTAATGCTTTAATTTTATTTACATTAGGACTGCAAAAAATCTTTGATCCGCATTATATATTATGAAGAAATGATCGTTATATAATTTAGTATATCTTAAAATCTAATTAAGACAAAATTGATACTAACTATAAAATTTATCATTTATCCATTTTAATCGACTTTTCATAATTGCTTCGAAAGGTTGATATCGCGATAATTTTTTTTTTAATACGCTTATAAAAATATGCTTTGTTACTGGCAAGGTGAAATGGAAAGATAATATATTGATAAGAAATTTTTCCATATATGACTAAATTTATTTTCCTCTTTTTGACTTATTGAGTTTTTCAAATTTTTCAAAACGCACGAACGTATCAATTAATGTTAATTTATATAAAATTTTCATCAACAATGATGAGATCATACGAATAATGGAATTGATTTTTGAGTTAATTGATTTCCATACATGGCAAAGATGTACATGTATAATTATAACGAATTAAAGATAAGTTCAAGATTACACGATGTACTAGCAACAGTGTACAGAATATGAAATTTGCATCACATATTTATAACATATAGCGTATATATACATATAGTATATATATATATATAATCTTATTAAATATTTTACATATAATTTTGTCGGCATGTTCGACGTATCGTTTAAAGAATACATATACATAATTATTCTAAATACCATCATTCTATTAGAAGAATGATTTACAAATTCGTATGTGCCTATGTTATAATTCATGCTCTACAAGAATAAACGTCGAGCTTCTCCCTGGTAATTCTTAATATTGTAAGTACATTTTAGATAGCTCAGTGTTTCGTTATCTAATGAATCCATATTTCAATGGATATTAAAAGTATCTAACAATTTTTACAAATTTAAAAATTAAATATGCTCGCTTTATCAAGTTTTTTTTGTTACTTATCGAATGGAATATAATTTTTGTTGTATTTATCTATTATCTTAATATTAAAGTTCAAATTATATGTAAATAAATTATTTGTGAATCTTATTGCGCGTCTAATAATCATAATGACTAATATTGATACATGCTTACGATCAGTCGTGTTTTTCGTTTTGTTGAATGCTAGTTATAGCACTGAGAGGTATAATTTCGGTGTTTCGTTGAAAGTTGTTATTATTTTTAAACGTTTTCCGTATCATCATAGTCCGAGTTTTAATTCGAGGAAAATTAGACGTGCTCGCAAGATGTCCGCGTTGTATGCGAGAATTACTTTCTTGAATACAGCGAAATGTACGCCTAAATTCCTTTCGAAATTTCCCTGTAATAAAAAATCCTTGTGATTAATTATCGAATATTTTCTATAATATTTTCAAGTATATATAATATAAATAAAATAATTTACGTTGTTTTAATTCCGTATTATTTTCAAAAAAGTAAATTGTTGTAAGATTCATTTAAAATTTAACATTATAATTAACATTGACGCCAATAGTATTATCCGAACTTTAACGAAAAGGGTAAGCCATATAATATTTTGTTATCGATCATTTTAAAATTAATTAAAATTATCTCAGATATGTTTGAATATCATAATTTTTCAAAAGGATGTGATAGATTAATAGAGATATAGTAGATAAATAGATTAATAGAGTGATCTATTAAAATATTTACAATAACAACCTAAATGATCGATTAATATCAATCATTCGATTGATTCCGTTTTCAAAATCGTCGAAAAATTACTAGTTTCCGAAATTAAAAAGTTTATTTTTCGATAGTCGGCCAATTTATAAAACGAAGCGGTTAAATTAAAATGAAAAATATAACAAGTATTATGAAAATTACTTTGAGAAATGGCCAATAACTCTAAAATATAATATAGCTCACCCTAAGCGTCATTGAAATTGCGAAGGGTAACATCCAAGCTACATCATTCCTGGGTAGATTCGTTTTTGCCTTCGGTTCTTTCCACGGTAATAGTAGAAGTTTTTTTCCAAGAGACTCGCATTTCCGCATGTCAGAATTGTTCACGACGATTATGCGGATTAGTAGAGCGATATTCATTCGCTATATAAGCGTAGCTGGGTTGCTGGTTTGCTAACCTGCGACCGTTTGAGGGATTCGAAGGGGAGCATTCTCGAAATGTACGACCAAACTCCTGCCGGAACTTACCTGCAAACCACACAAAAGAGTTAAATATCTTCTTTTACATTTCTTCTTTTATATTTGCTATGCTACTCTTATTTCCGTCCTCTTTATGAGAGCCAAAATTATTAAATTTATAAATAAAGAATAATTACTGATATATTCATATATATATATATATATGAATATAATATTTCTTTTACGAATTAAAAAATGTTATTTTTATTGATAGAATATATCGAAAAATGTCGAATTAATAACAAAAGAATTTTTTAATTCTTTTATTAACAGTAAAAAAATCAAGCCATTAATTGATCAATAGAAACGAAATAATGCTTTATTTGATTATTTATAAAATTTTTTAAAAGAGATGAGAAATCTAAGAAAAATGATTATCATTATAATGACGAATACTTCTAATAATAATAATGAGTTCATAATTTTGTAATGACATCAATAGTTAAATTTATAAAATTACGAATAAAAATGAATCATTCTATTCCATTTTACAAGCAGATATCAATTTATTCGTATCAGCTTTTTTTTGTTTTACATTAAGCTTGTCAATTATTTTTTTATGAAAGAAACGTAAACCGAACAATATAACAGAGATACATTACTGTGATGCAAATTCATAAAAAATCAATTGTATTTTGTATTACATCAATGAGATTTTAAAACGATATAAGCTATTTATGATTCGTCGGAAAAATTACGGAAATTTTATTAGGAAAATATAATAATTGAAATCAACTAATTCTCTAAATTAAAACACGTTAGATAAAGTATTATTTATTTGCGGCTAATGAAAGTAAGAAAATAAGAGGTCGTTTACCGCTCATGAAGTTGTAGATCAGAGGATTAACTGCACTATTGAAATAGCATAGGCCATGCGCGATTAAACTGATGGCGTTTATCCACTTGTTCGATGGTAATGTAGTGGTATACCTGAAATATTAAGTAATATGTATCTACGTAGATTTTATTCGAATTTAGTGATAATTTCCTACTGGTGATTCGAAACTTTTTACTTTAGATGTACTTTAGATAGATGTAACATATCAAACTATTAAGGAAAATTTATTCAAATAGTAAAAGATACCTTAAAACGGAGAGTAAATGCACGGGAAAATAGCAAATGGCAAAAATGATGACGACCGTGACTAACATCTTTGCTGCTTTTTTTCGAGATCTCAGCTGCACTTCCGGATTTCCGCCACCGGATGGTGGAATCTGACTCATCTGGGATGCTCGTGACGATACTGTAAATGCTTCGAATAATTATTCACGATCTTACCTCCTTATTATTTTATATCTCGCTATGATCATCAATTATTCATTATTGAACAGATTTACATATTATCATATTGGCATTTTCAAATATTTCCGCAAATATTAAATTCAGAATTATTGAATATTAACAGTATCGGTAAGAAACAATGATATAAAAATGTTACGAGGAAAAACACGTAAAAGATTCGATTTTATTCAAGATCACGTCACAAGTCTCGGAAATACTTTATAATGCCTCGTTACATTGATTATTATAGGCAATTAGTCATAATTCTATTTATAGAATTTATACGAATAAATAAAAATTAATCATTTCGCTTACAATTATGCCCTGGAATGTCGCTTTTCCAAAGGACTTTTACAATTTGCCAGTACGCTACGCTCATGAAGATCAAAGGCCCAGTATAAAGGAAAATTAATTTGACGATAATGAAGATGACTTGATTCTTTTGACTCCAGGATATACCACATTGTGTGAATAAAATGGACTTTATTTTGATGTGCGTAGGGACGGTATGCAACACCACAAGATCCGGAATATCTGCACAAACATTGAGTGTTGATGCATGGTTTTTCTCATAGTTTGTCAGTAACTAAAAATAACATGTCGAGTGCCTTAATTTTGAACCTGGTTATTCTATTCATGCGTATTCCAAACAATACATATACGTGCCATTCACAACAATTATTTAAAGGAAAACAATAAATTTTATGCGTAGAACTACCAAATAGAAGAGCTATTGTCCAAATTCCGATGATCGCATTTTTTGCCCATCCTGTGGTAGATTTGAACCTCAGAGGAAAGCATATCGCGTACCATCGATCTATCGATATGAAAGTTAGGGTTAATATGCTCACAGTCACGGATACCGTCTGAAACAAAAAATCAAGTCATCGGGACGTCATCATTAAAAATAACAACATCATACAATCGTTAGATATTAAAAAACGAATTACAAAGATGCGTTAAAAAGAGAGGCTTAACAACTTTATTGTATAACAATCGAATTTCATATACAATAAGAAAATAAATTAACCTCGTCGATTAATAATTTTGATTTTCGCTCGTTCACAGAAATTTCCATAATTTCTGTTTCGCTGTAAAAATTTACATCGTCGCGCCACAGATTAATGTTGAGGCAAATTCGTATTTAATAATACTACGCACAGTACTGGCATCTTAAAATAAGTTGTAAGGATAAATGCAAACGTTTATGCAGATCTAGAACTCCTTACAAGCATATTTTATATAGTTTTGACTTTTTATCCGATAACATGGTTTATTTGCACTCGGTCTAGAAAGACACGTCATGAATATAAAATGAACAGTTAGAAAATATAGAGATTCGGATAAAAGTTTTGCTTCTTGGCAGAAAAAAGAAAAAAAAAAAAAAAAAATAGATAAAACCGTTGGTTCCGTTGCTATGCCTGCGCTCCTCCCCTCCCCTCCCTCTCTCCTCCCGTCAGAAAATTTATTGCTCCTGCACATTCGGTTTCGAGTTATCCTTCTTCTTGCTCGTGGACAAATTAATAAAATGAATCGATTCGACCTAAATTTCTCCTCGTAAACGTATGTCGTGTTGTTTACATCTGATGCCGGATAGTCGAATGAAAAATTCATTCGAAAGTTGAGCCCGATTACAATCGAGCAAGATTGAATTAAGAGAATTGAATTTAAAATATCCCGGTCAAGAAGCTTTTTACGACCTTTGACCGAGAAACGGGGAACTTACGTTTACGATCGACGGAATACCTTAGTGAACATGATGCCTTTTCATACTAACGCTACGTCATACTAACACGCTTAGGAAACCGGCTGCAAATGCTTGCTGTCGATTGAATTTCCGAATTATTCCGTCAAAGGGCTTGTTACGAAGTTTGTGTATAGAAACGAACGTGTTCGAATTGATCGTAGAGCTGGTCAGTAGTAGTAGTAGCAGCAGCAGTAGTAGTAGTAGTAGTAGTAGTTCAAACTAATAGCTGTTAATTCTTGACGCGTTTCTACTTTTCGAAACATTTCAAGCCTTTCTTTGATTAGGTATCTGTTTTAATCTGTTGACACGATGTTTGTATCGTTTCGGTATCTTCTTCATCTTCTTATCGTATAAATCATAATTTATCATATTTCAAACATCGTATCGTATCACGTACTATTGCACGCAAGTGAACTTATCGAAGACTCGAAATCGAGATGAAAATTCGTGAAAATAATTCGTTCTCTCATTTTACACGTAAGTATTTGTATACTTTCTCGTTTGTTTTCTTAACGAAATGACTTTAATGATAAACGGAATGAGGAACGGAATTTTTTTTATCTAAACGCGCGAAAGGAAATTAATCGGAGAATTAATATAACAATGAGAATCGCTTATTCTGAAATAGTAATGTTCCAAATCTTGGGGACACATTTCAACAAGTAAGCAGTAAAAAGGTTAAAAGCAATTGAAAAACTTTAAACAAGCGTTCTAACAATGAGTTAGAAGTACAATTGTGATACGTTGGAAGTAAAAGTAGCGAAATATAATTAATATCCTAACCAAGTGAGAAGTTGTTATTTCTTTTTATCTTAAATCATACTTTTTTTTTTTCGAAGCAACCAAATTCTATTTTCGATAATTTATCCGATTCGAATAATTCTATAGCTCTTTTTTTATAATATAATAAAATATACCATAAATATTTATTATATATATAAAAATATCGATAAGAATCTTTATTCTTTCGTTTATACTTTAATTCCTTATCTTAGAAGATTTGAAATCAAAATTGTTATTGAAGAATACAAATTCTCCTTCGATAATCGCATTAATTCTTCTTTTAATATAAGATAATTGAATCAGCTGCGAGAACTGTTCCCATTTACAAATTCATTTTCACAGGGCAATTTAATAGCGAACGACGCTGTAAATGAAGATTAAAAATCGTTCTGAAAAGGCTAGAAAATAACATTGACATTTAGCGATTCAATCGTTACTTACTGCTTCACTGCCGTATTAATTAGAGTCGGTCAAGGATGTTGGCAAGAAGGTATTTAAACTCGTAACGTAAATCGATTTAGGTATTAGAAGTTAGCAGAGATAAAGAGAGGTTAGCTTTAATGCACCGAGCAGCAGAATGCTTTCGTTGGTTGTTATTTCAACATAGTTTCCGCGCAATTAGTAGATATACCATATATACCACTACGAGGTATATCTCGATTAATTTATCGGACCTCTAAGCAAAACTCTGAATCATGTACATAAAGATTGTTAACGCGAGAACACCGACTCGGTTCACTCGGTTGAACAAGCTTGCTCGTTTCCCCCACCTGTGGGAATTTAAGATAATTTTAAATAGCTTTTAGAACGCTATGAGGAGGAACAAAAATGGGAACGAGCAATTCGATCCTGTGAATGGGTAACAGATAAATCGTTCGTCAGCTCGAACAAACTCTATTGTTTTTTCAACCGTTCCGTCCGACGCGGAACGATTTTACGATCGTCCGTGGACAGAGCACGTTTTAATTAAATCTCGGTTATCTATCGGTCACACTCACAACTATATTTTTCACGGCGACGCGTGACTAAACGCGTATCGGCAATATCGCGACAATACCGCTCGGAACTTTGCACTTGGCCTATCGGTACAATTGAACCGATATCGAAAGACTCGATTAAACGAGTGCTAGTAAACGACGATTGTAACTCCGACGAATGAACCTCGAAATCTTTTCTCCAACAAACAAGAGATAGAATATTTTAATCCCCGTTTTGATTTGATTGATGAATTGACAAGCTTATCTCTGGAAATTTATACTTATTATTTTATTAGCTCAGATAATTATATATTCTTGATTTTTTTTTTTTTTTGGCATTCAAAAAGGTCAATTTCGATAGCACGCAAGGTGTACTTTTAATTGTACCGCCCGATTCGAATTCAAGTATTCCCTCTTGTGCTATCAATTAAAGGAATTACGGTTTTATACAGTTGGAATTAAGCATCACGAGGCAAGGTATTATAAAAAATCCATATTACTCATTCGGCCACGAAAGTAAAGTTGTCCCTTGATGATATATCACCGCACGACGTGCCAGCTACAAGTGGTCTTTTAGTATTCGCACACGCAAACTTTGCATCATTAACTCCTTCGTGTCCTTTCATATCCCGAAGTGACACGACGGTTCGATGCAGCAATGCATCTATTTATTTCGAGTTAAATTATCCGGGATAAGGGAAGAGTTACTTACTAGGGCGTTGCATTCGATTGAATGAATCGAAACCCACGGGAAATTCACGTCGAAATACGAGAGGATAATTAGGGAGAGGCGGAAAAATATTTCGTTCACGATTATGATTCACCAACTACACGCAATCAGTCCGAATTTCTTTTAACGAAAACAGATATATTCTCTTCCCCGCAATCTGACAATTTCAAAGGGATCGTCCGATGAAAATATGTAACGATACAACTTTAACGATAATCGCAATTATCGTGGCTCGCAACATTGGCAAGAATTCAAATCTCGCGATAGACAAGTTGAAAAAGTACGAGATTAATCGTTGGAACGAGAAATTATCATTCGTTATGGTACGCAATCGGTATCAAACCGATTTTCTCTCTACTGCGTAAATGCATACAACTCGCGAGATTTTTCTTTCCTTCTTCGAGAATACATTTTTCCAACGGTTGCAAATGTTCGAAACAAAAGCTTCGGAACGACCCTCGTTATTTATTATTCCTCCCTTTCTAGTGGAATCGTCTCTTTTCGAAGATCGTTAAGCCGTAACGGGTACACTCCATACTTGCATACAGGTACATGTAATCCAAGGCCATAGAGGGTCGTTTCGAAAATTGCTTAGAAAATTGCTATCTTATCTAAGATGCAAATAAAAATCTCTTGCTTTAAATTGACCAAGTATTTTTTTTTCTTTTTGTAGATATAAAGAAATACACAAATACGATATGCAGATCGTATATTTTATTACACATCTTTGACACGATAATGTCATCGATTAATTAAAATTAAAGGATTAAAGGAATAACAAGATCAAAATTTAACCATTGGTTAATATTATGACTCTGCTTGCTTGTTCGATATTGTCTTTCGCAAATATCTTTAGAAATCTTTTCTCCCTTGTTTCTGAATATATTGACGATTAATTACAGCGCTCCTGTTTCAAGAAGACATCTCTATCATTAGATACGGTACACAAGATAATTAAAAGGGATCTACAGGAAGTCATTTAAGTTAATAATGCTATTAGCTCGGATATTCTACGAGCTTGAAAATTTCGTTTAAAGGGGAACAAAGTTGAGAAATATATTCCCTTTAAATAATTCTTTTTAGGTTTCTTAAAGGAATCGAAGAAATTATGCGGCGTACGAACAGCGTGAAACACTCTGGTTATATGCAAGTGTGTGGTTGCATACACTTTTGCTTTTCATGTACTTCTGTTTCGTAAAAAAAAAAAAGTATTCACGTTTCTGTATTCGAAACTGCAGCACGTACTTCAGTCCTTTTTCCGTTTCAACCCGTTGGTCGGGTTATCTCTTCTCCCTTTGCACCGGAATTTCATCTAGCGAAATTTCATATCTTCTTTTAGCGACAGCTTTTTTGCGTTAAATTTCTTTTTCGCGTAAAAATAACGCTACCTCTTTCGTTGATGAATTTTCACGCGGATTTACAGCTTCAGCGAAGCAATATTCATCATTGACATTTACGATACGAATAAAATTATTCGAATCTCGACAAAGGATTCAGGGGACGATTATTTCGAATATTCGAGGATTGTTCCCTCGTAAACGGAGCGAGTTGAGAACCCAAAGATCAGTTATCATATAACGTAGTGTGTAAGATAATACGATTCAACAGAGTTACCTTGCTCATGAATGCGTGTAGCATATAAACGCCTAACGAAGATACAGGCGCAAGGGATGCAAGTTTACACATGGATACGCGCAGTCACATGCACGGGAGTATGATGAACGAGCCAAACGAGCCATATTTCCATGTAGATAGTTATACAAGTGCAGCCCTGTCACGATACTGGCCGATCGAATTTTAACTAGATGCAGGATTACCAGGACTCCCACTCGTACGAATCGATCGCAGAAAATAGAAAATTGAAACTGCATATTCCAACTAATTAGAACAACGTTTCGATTGCAAATGCTGTGATTAAGATTTACGTACACGAATTCCACTGTTTCCATAAATAACTAATGTAATATTAATGGCGCGCTAAAATTCCATAACGATAGGGAATCCTGTCCACTTCCTAGTTAGTTTCGTTTTAATAAATGATTTCATCGTTAATATAGTTGCAAAAAACGATAATTACGACTAGTGAATTATTCCGTGTATTCTCTCGCGTATCTCTTACCAGGCAGCGAACACCGAAGTCTGAAACAATACCCGAACAATAAGCTGTAAAGCTGGTTCCTATATTCCTTGATTCCCAAAGATACACCTTTATATTTTGCCATTTCTCGGCGTATAGCAACAATATACTTAATTCGTTTTTCTTTCTTTCGTTTCTATTTTTATTAAATTCAATAACGAATCAATAATAATCAAAATGACGTATGTTATATTTACAAGTTTAATTTTTTAACTTTCATTTTATTCCAAAAGATTATTGAATACAAGATAAATATTTTAAGGATTAAAATGGTAATTAGGTAACGTTTATATATATATTGTATCTATAATATCTCGATGTAAAGATTATTAAATTTTTTTCAAGACACAACATAGATATTTGGTAATATTATTTCCTAATTTGTTCACGTTGCAAAGAATCGACAATTCGAAAAAATTGATCGTCAACTGTATAATTTGCGTATTCGGTTTTATCGAGCGGAATAATGTCGATCATTTTGTTGGGTTAATGCAACCAACCGCCTTCACAATGTTCACTTCGTTCGGTTAACAGACTCCATATATCGCAATCCCTCGATAAAAAATTATTTGTGTCGTTAAAAAAAATTCTTGTTAATACAAAATAATTCACGAAAATAAAAAAGAAACTTTGCCGAGACGTGTTACATATTGTAGATTTCGCAAAATAACAATGGATTGCATAACTGATTGAGTTTTCGGAGGAGTAACAATCAACAAGCCCTATCAATCAAAATGCATATTTTTCCTTTGTGAGTGGTTGCATCAACTTTTTATGGATAACATTGAAATTTCGTATCAAAAACATAACTCATCCGTGATATCGTTCATCAAGTCTTAAAAAATAAATATGATTCATTTTTTAAAAAGTGCATTGCAACTTATGAATAAATATAATTTTTATATCTTTCATATATAAATTTCATCGTTCTCTACATTTTTTATTCCAATCATTTATTTTTACATGTTAACTGTGATAACAGTATCAAATATAAGCTTAATTGAAGTTTACCGTACCGTAATAATATGTTCACACGCCAACCGTTCAGTGTTTAAACCTGTTTTTCGTTCGTACAGGTTTAAACGATAATGCATCTTAATGATGATAATGTATCATTTATATTATCTTCTGATTTATTATATTTTAATTGATTTAATTAAATTATTTTACACATAAATTACATAGAATGACATTATTTTCGTTCATTACCCTAGAGGAGGCGTCAGTGCAAAATGGCAGCTAACAGCCTCGCATTCACAAAAATTACGTACTGGGTATGTCTTGATTGCCATACCCCGCTAGCATGGTACTTGACCGTGCTAACGCGATATTAAAGTAGCGAGCACCCTTTTTAAACCAACCGAATCTCGGTTATGCCTTATGTTACGTATTACGTTCTATATTGAATGCGAGAATCATTACTAGTATCGAGCCATCTGTTGCACCATCTGTGAACTAAAAATGCCGATGCTCGTCTTCACTGACAAAATATTCAAATTCATTTCAAAGAAGATAATTAAAATAACGAAAATGTTGAAATTACGATTGGCAATTGGAAATGAAACGAATAACAAGAAACACGAAGTTCTTTCGGTTTTTCTGATATTGTTTTAATTGAGAACGTATATTTGGTTACGCTCCATAAAATATTAATTGCAGAATTTTCAATAGAGATGATGTTGATAATTTGATTAACAATCAAGATTTCCAATCATATCGTTGAGTTTAGAAAATCTCGGAGCGAATACGATATCGGGCTTTTCATTGGAACGTTCGTTATTAGCCACGCGAAGAGATATTGTAATTAAGTTAATTAAAACTTGAATAAAGACATTTGTGTCCATAGAACGGGTTCTATTATGGCTAAAAGTCGCTGATTAGCCAAAATGCTCAACGAATATACCGCTCAAATGATCCGATGATTAAAAAGAAAACTTTAATCTTCGTTGAAAATTAAAGCGCCCTTTATCTTGGTGCCACGATTTTCGTCTCTCAATATATAAAGAAAAAAATATTGTTAGAATATGAAAAGCGGTTTGAATACTAAACGAAGAGTAACTTGGTCGACTTATGAATTTATTATCATTCATGGTTAGCCAAACTTTCCAAGGAAAGTTTCTATTCGACGCGTTGCAGATTCAATCATCGAAATGAACAAAAAACGAGATGACGATTGTTTCTTAAAATTTACACGTTGGATAAATTCAATGAATATTAAATGCCGCGAATGAAAATACCGTTGAACGAATCGCGTCGACGGAGCGTTCAATTCTGCAATTAAGACGCTTTGCATTTTGCCGCGTCTCGAATCGTTGGCCCAAATTCGAGAGGAAGAATCGTTGCTTGTATACCGTTGAAATAAATATACGAGAAAAGCTCAACCAATGCTACGAGTCCGGCACTCAAGTAACGAGCAATATCATGGTTAGATATTTTGTTCACGCTATCGGATGGACGTGCACGAAATCTGAAATGGCGTGTTTGAAAAAAGAGCAGGAAAACGCGAATTTCAGACGAATATAAAAGCAGCTTGGTCTCCAAAGATTTCCGGTTACGATTTTTCTAATTAGAATCGCGCGAGTTATGTGAGGAGTGGTTAATTAAAAAGTGTGAACGAATCGAGGCGAACGAATTGTCTTACCTGAAGATATGGCACGGCTTTGCACAAGGTTAAACCAAGAAACCAGGTTTCCGTGATATCCCATAATACGGTGAATGGAAGACAAAGTAATAAAACTAGGAAATCAGCCACTGCTAAATTGACGATAAAATAATTCGTCACTGTTCTCATCGTATGATTCCTGTAAACGGCGACGCAGACTAGAGCATTTCCAATTAATCCGATGACGAAGATGATGCTGTGCGACGCGATCAGCACCCAATCCCAAAACTTGGGGAATATGTAATTCATCAAACGATCCACGTAATCTTCGTTCGAGATGCAGTAAATATTGGTGCAATTGGTGGCATTGTAATCCGATTCATTGTAATCCATTGAAAGATAATCGTCCGAATCAGTGGCATCGATTAACGCGAATACCACCGATCCCAACCACGTCAAAATTATTGGCTCGAACGGATGCATCTTTCTTCTTCTTCTTTTTTTTCTTTTTTTTTTTTTTCTTGTTTGAGAGAATGTCGTCGTTTACGCGATATATATAGACATCGATATCGATAACACTCTCTTGAGAAAAATTCAGCAAACAGTTCCCTTTTTACAGGCTGTGTTGTCACTGTGTTAGGTTTTCGAACGTTCTCAGACTCGTTTTCTCGAGAAATTTTTAATGTTCGAGATCGAAGAAAAGAGAGAAATACGCTTGTGAGTGAAAAAGTTAACGCTTCAGATTGATTCACTTTGCCTATTTCCCTCCAATTTCCATGGCATTAAAGATAATTCTTCTCGCCTTTTTCCTTCCCTTTCCTTCTTCGCCAGCGTCATCGCCCTAAAAGGCGAAGATCGTCGACGCTTCGATTTTTATTCGATCGCGAACTATTAAAATGATTTAATTTCTTAGTGGAAAAGAGGAATTATTGGAAAAGATTATTCGTTCATTTTTTTCTTCTCGCTCTCGATGACGCATCAAATCATCATCATTAATAAACGAAGAAAGTTTTCGATGCCGCGTGTTGTAATTTCCCAATTGTCCATTTAACAAACGAAATTTTCGTAACAAATGGTTTACAAATAGAAAAATTCACGAGTTCGCTTTTATCCGATTCTATCTTTTAGATTCTCCTCGTCTTTTATTTGATTTTTCTCGAACTGATTACAGACGATAAATCTGATATGTAACTAATATTGTAGAATATTACTCTTTTTCTTGTTCTTTCTCGAAAATGATCGAAATCGAGAGCTCATTCGAGAAATAGAAAGGTAACAAATAATTCGCCAATATGTTTTACCTTTTGTTTGGAAGGAAAGTTTCGTTCCCCCCTTTTTTCCCCTTTCGATCGATTTTAACGTTTGACCGGCTCTAGGAAAAAAGTTCGAGAGTAAAAATTTAATTTTTTACAAGGTTGTGATAAAATTGTCAGAAATTGGTAAAAGGTATTTTGTGATTAAAATTAATATTAGACATAGTTTCGTGTTTAGTATTTTTAATTATAAAGCAAATTAACGCGGCTTTTAGAACGTTAACATTGAAAGCGAAATCCCGACTTTCGTTTCCCTTGTGGAACGAGATATCGATGATATCGATCCAGTTCTCAAAGGAAAACTTAAGTTTATCGATTTGAAATTGTAATTTGATCGAAATTTTAATCGATAAGAATCATTGTTATGACATCATGACGAAATTTAAAATGATGACACAATCAAATGCGATTAAATAAAAATCTTATCAATTAATCGTCATTACTGTTAATTTGCTCGAGACTTTCATCAAATTTTCATCAGTATTTTCAATTTACAACGAATGCTCGATTCGAAATTTTTTATCGCGAAGAAATTTTTGAACAACGACCTTCGATTTTCTCTCGAGATGAGCGACGTTCATAGCAAAAAAAGAATCACTCGATTATCCTATTAATCTTGCGCGTTTTTTCTAACTCATAACTCTGGGTTGACAATGACAACCTATATGTCGATTCATCAAAAAGATATCAAGACCATTCCTTCATCTTCCCGACAATAATGCTAATGATTTCGTATAACTTTTTGTCGTGTTTGAAGGATAAAAATCGTCCACCATATCGAATTGAATCGACTAATCCGATTCTATTCTGATACACGATATTATTATATCCCTTTTTACACGACTCGAACGCGGATTTTGGAGAAATTAATAGATATTTTATTTTAAAGTTCAATATCTCCGATTTTTCATTCCAATGCGCTGGAACGAAAATATATTGTAAATCTGTCAATTATAATTGTCCAAGAAACGTTATATTCGTTCTACTTGGAAACTTTAACACGTTCCTTTTTCTCGTTTGTCATTTCCGTTTTCGTCCATATACATAGCGCACAGGAGGGAAAATTTTTGAGGAAAATTGATCGACTTTTTCCCGTACAAGAAAAGGTGTTTAAATTTACAAACTTTTTTTTTTTTGTATTATTCTCGTTCGAAAGTTATTCAATAATGCTAATGTACTTTTATCCCCGGTATTCAAATTGGAAACTGGAAGAATCAGTTCGCGCGTAATATGCATAAGAATTGTTAAGAATCTCCAACCGAGGCGGAAAATATTTCGAGATGAGAATATCGTTAAACTTTTCCCTCCACGTTTCACAAGCTATATTATTATACAATATATATTATTACAAGTTTTGCAAAAATGTTTTTTTTAATCCTGGCAACTTGTTCATCGTTACTTCGTATATTAGCCACTTTTTAAAATTCTATCCGATTCAATGATCACTTCTCTTATTTATCATCGAACGTCTTTGCCCGTCGACACTGTACCCGAAACATTATTCGGGATCATACGTGATCTTTTATGTTTACACATTAGATTTATCGTGCAAAAAAAGAATTATTATTTTTATCATTGTAATCCTTGCAAATGAATAATGGTGAAGATTTTGCATATTCGAGCGATTAATTTGTTTTACAATTGCCTCGGGAACTCGTATTGCATTGTTCAACATCGATAACACTATTTTGCAAAAGGAAAATGTGTGTCACAGCGTTCGTCGATCGAGCATGTTTGAATAAGTGAGCTCGATGTTCCGTGTCACGGTGGTGTGTCACGGTGACGAGACACGAAGGGCCCCAGCTTGGCAAAGGGATGCGAACGCGACGACGGACTCTGCGAAACTGAGGTATGTACGTCGTTTTAACGAGCGCGTAGGTGCACCAGCACTATGTCGGGACCAAGACACGCTTTGTCTCAAAGTTTTCCGATATCCAAACTTGATGGACACCCTGGCGAATTCACCCTGTCTCGACATATTATATTCGCTATTAATCGAATGCGTGTAGAGTCGATGACGAGTAATTAAAAAAGAGAGTGAATTGAAAATGAAAATTAAGATAATACTTTTTTGCATTCGATACTTCCTATCACGGAAGGGAGAAGGATGGCAAATATTTATATTTTATTCTCATTGAATAAAAAAAAATGCAGCAATTTCATCGCTTTAAATTTTTTTCTTCTTCTTATTTTCTTTGAAGATAATGCAAGCGCATGTTTACTTTCATCGATAAATCCTATCTGAAAGAATAAAATTCCCATCTCAATTTTTACGATCGAGTTTATTACGATTACAATCGGAAATGGCCCTCGAAAAGATTCAATTGTAACTATTTCATATGGGAGCATAAGTTCAGTGAAATGAAACAGATATCATTTATTTTCTTCGTTGAATCGTAAATCCTCGATGGTCTTTAGTCACGAAAGATATAGATACACGAATAGAGGAAAAAACGCGATATTTCGTACGAAATTCCACATGTGAAATTCCGATCAATAGAAAATTTTAAGCCAATTGGCGTTCATTCTTGCTGTCGATATCTCTTGAAATCTCTCGGAAAGAAAAGAAGATTAGAAAAGAGTATTAAATTCCAATAAAGAATTCCTTTCACCGACCGCATTTATTACAATCTGTGTTCCCGCGTGATATTGAAAATTTAAGGATTTTCTCTACGTGCATATAGTTCCTGGTTAGTTCGCATGATCACATCGCTCATTTATCATTTCTATATCAGATAAACCTTTTGAAGTCAATCTGTTTTTATTTTTTTAACATATTTATCTTGTTAATGATAGGAGTATAAATATTTTGCTATGTGAATACATTTTTTTCTTCTTTTTTTTTGAAAAGATATACGTATACAATTCTATATTTATATATATATTTATCTTTTTAGAAGTTCAAAAAAATCATCGTTCGTTTTTACAATATTTATTTACGATTTATTTCGCGTAAAATATGAACGACAAAATTTAAAGATTTACATTTTATTTTAATTGTCAATCTTACGATATTTTCAGGATACTTTTCTTCTCTCTCTTTCTTGAATTTTAAAACAAATGAGAAACCCATATATATTTAATAAAAAAATACAATTAATAAATGCTTATTTTTAGATATATCAATTTAATTAACTTTTTATTTATATTATTATTTGCTAGAAAATAATGCCTTATTGTTCTTGTAATTATCTAAGGATGTAAATACAAATGATCGATCGTTACTTTTTTATACTAGAGGAATTATAACGACGTTTAAATCATTCAAATCATACGTAAATAGTTATAACGTATATAAAAACTACATGCGTTATGATAAATTAAAATTAAAATTAAAATAGATTAAAATAAAACTATCCATTATCAAATGGTAAAAAATGGTATATCCATTTGATAATAAATACACGACATGAAAAATTGAAATTACTTTATGTGTTATTCTTTTTCTTCAATTTGTTTTATACCATTTCCTTTGTTTTCTATTTTCTATGCACTGTCTGTGTACATTTATATTGTTACTTTTTAAAAGAATAATATATTATATGAAATTGAAAAAAAAAATCAATAGAAGAAAACGATTTTAAATAATTGCAAAATTTATTTTGTAATTAATGAAATTACTTAATGATCAATCGATCCAGCATTTAGCAATAGATCCACATATATTAAAATATATTTTTCAAGCTTAATCGATTGAATTTACTGTGCAAGATACAAAGTGAATAAAAAAAGAATTGATTAGATAACATTACGTCGATGATGGTGTAATTTGATGATTAATGTAAATTGTAATAAATTCTTTTATTTTTGTAAAAAAGAAGCACGACGTAATAAAATTTATATTATTTTATGATAAAAAATATAGTAATAATATTAAGAAGATGTACGAATAGTTTTTAAAAAAATTGGAATAATAAAGATCAGGTTATAAAGAAAATAATTTAATCTCAATAATTTGTACAAAATTAATATCTTTTATTTTCTACGAATTCTTATTAATGAAAAAAAAGTTTAATTATCACAGCTGTAACAGCATTGTAACTGCTATAACTTCAACTACACGATAAATATTAACATGAATTAAATTTGATAAATATGATTCTAATATTAATAATTTATTACTTTTTTTTATTTTTTATATAGATAAAAATATGCATATATCTAATATAATATATATTTTGAATCGCTAGAAAAATAGGAGAGATAAAGACAAAAATTTATATTTCTATTCTTTGTTTAGGAAAGTAAATTTATATTTATATTAATCTTAAATTGCTATATATGCATATCACTCTCAAATATTCGAGATATCTATTTTTATACTAATTCTAATGTCCATTTTTACTAAAGCAATGAGGCACTTGATTATCGTACAATTTAAAAGCATGTTTATAAACAATGCATTAAATTTCTATTAATATAATCTTTTCACAATTATTTTGATATTATCTTATATTATCTGATATGTTATCTTATACCAATTTCAATGAAGTTCAAAAACTTTTGAATTTCGAAGACCTTTTGGTCACAATGATTACAATATCTTTTTATATAATCTAATATTCATATACTAATCATCCATTAATACTAGTAATATCATCATTGTTGGTAAATCTTTTTGACAATAAATTTTGATTTTCTTCTCCTCTAAAATTATGTCTAATATATAAGAAAATGCCGATAGAAATAAATAAAATGCCAATACAGGCAATACCATAACAAGTTATGCTACCTAAAGATTCCAGAATAATAATAAATTTTATAATACGAGCGTAATTAGCAGTTAAATAAGCTTCTTGAGTAAACCATAACATTGGTACAAATGTTTTTTTAACATTTTTAAACATGCTGAAAATGATATTGTAAACATGTAAGTGATATTGTTTAAGTTACATTTTAATGTTAACGTTCATTTACTAAGAAAAATGTATTTTTTTTTTATTCATTTACAAAAAAATGAAACAAAGACTTACCTCATATGAGCGTCATTTTGTATCAATAAATTTAATTGTAATGCTGCATTTACACTTAGTGGAACACCCGTTTTCTATAACAAATTTTTTATAATTATTATTGATCATAAATTATGACTTCATATAATAATTACCGGTTCTATGGATATTGAAAGCTCATGTCTTTCTTTATTAGGTTCCATTCCTTTGATATTTTCTCTATAACTTTGATCTGCTAAATAAAAATGTGGTAAACTGATGAATGCTGGAGCACCCCATTTGCATAATGAAATATTTAATGCTCCAGAAGGAATGCACTCTCCTGCACAATAACATTTACGCGATGATACTTTTGTACCATTATCAAGTATCGTATAATCGCTAATATATCTAGAGCCTCTTAATCCCTCATGAATAGTTGTATTATCATATGTTACTGACATACTCCTATTGATAAAAATTATTGTTTTAATTTTACTGTATTTAATTTTCCATATTTTTTTTAAAAAATTAAACTCACGTGCAAATATCAGGTACAAAGAAAGAAATAGTTTTATTATCAGGTAATGGTGGCCATAAATCACCATTTGTACCTTTAACTTTTCCACATTCTCCAGGATAATAATTTACTCTAGTATTAAAATTCCATTCTTTGACTATTCCTACATTAAGTAAATTAGATTTACCAGTTAACATGTTAAATGTTCCATCATAAGTTGCAGAACCATTTCTCTGTAAATCAAAAAAAAAAAAACATATTATTTCAATTATTTCAACTATTTATTTTATAATAGCTTTAATAACATTAATATTTACTCCATAAAACCAAGCAAATTTAGAAAAAGGAATTTTAGTAAAATTCATTTTTCGAGCAATTTTCAACATAGCATCATCATAACCTTCAAAAAGTAATTCATTAACAGTTTTGGTAATTATTAACTTTTGATCTATTGCTTTCATTATTTTATCTACTATATCACGAAGAAAAGGTTTTTGATATCTTAATGCATATGCAACACTCTAAAAGAGAAAAATATTATAATAAATCAGAATAATATATAGCAATATATAATAATATTAAAAGATACATACAGCAGTTATAGGATTTATATTAGTTACATTATCTTGTAAACTTCCTGCTGATAAAGATTTTTCAAAATACCATACTCTTTTTCTTTGATAAGTTATAGTATCATTTTCATGCCATTTTTGTTCTACTTTATAATCAACTTCTCTATTATAACAAAATATTATTAACTATTTAATTTATCATATTAGTAAAATATTCTATAATATTTAATTCGAATTAATTTGATACCTAAATACATAAGGACCCATTTCTACAAAATTTGGTTTTGATCCATTAATTGAAGTAAAATCTTCATAGTTTGTTAAATTAAACATGTATAACTTCAGATACATAGGAATAGGTGTTACTTCCCAAAGTTTGTAACTTGTAGATGTAGGTGTTAAAGATAATTGCTATAAAACAATATATAAGATATAAATATTGATTAGAATTATAACAAATTATTTTTATATTTACCGTATGTATAATTGAAGAATAAATTGTAGACCAAAGAATTCCTGTAATTAATCCAATAATTGTTAACACTAAACCTATTAAAGAAATGATAGCAAGTTTTTTATAAATCTTCATCATTTTGTTTAGCTATCTGATCTGAAAAAAAAATTTTTTTTTATCAATATTTATTTTAATTATGAATTATGTCAATACATAGTAATTAATAGTTACAAATAATTACACAATTGCTTGTTATTATGTCACATATCTTTTAATTTATTAAATTTTATTTGAATACATTCTATAAAAGTTTATATTATTTTATAGAATTAAACATGCGATTTTTATTAAGAATAGTGATTATTATATTGATTTGTTCAAGCTTAAATATACGATTCATGTTTTCAATAAAATCAGTTCACACAATTAACTGGTTATGATCAACGATATGTCAACGATAGGTTAGAATATAACACAAAAAAAAACAAAATTAAATATTATCATTCAAATGATTACAATAATTTAATATTATAATATTAAATAAATATATAGAAGATTGACAATCTACATGAAATTACATTAAAAAACATTTCGTGTAATACTTTTGCCGCAATATATAATCAAAGATAAAATTTATTTAAACAAAACAAAGATGGTCTATATCTACTCGATGATCGATGTGTAATATTGTATCAATCTGGACAAAGTTCATTTAATTCGGTTAATTTATAATTTATAACAGAAGAAAGTTTATATAACAGTACAAAGTTGGATATTCTATATTATTTATATAACATTGTATAACATATATAATATATAACATTGTAAAAATATAAATCCTTCTTAAATAATTTGTAACATTATTATTTAAAGAAATTAGTGGTTTGATATTTTAATTGTTATATAAAAATATACATACAAAATATATATATATATACGTATTATTTAAATATGTACATTTTACTTACATATTTGAATATTAAAATTTACCAATTTTACTAAATTATTTAATTAAAATTTCGGATGTATATTCGTTGATAATATTCATCCGAATATTAAAATATAAATAAATTATATAATTATATAAATTATATAAATAAATTAAGCTATTTTAAAATGTAATTTTCTTTACTTATGCTGTATAATTATAAAAGCATTATAAATATTATATATATATAAGCAAAAAAAAAATATACATATATATGTATGTATAAAAATATATATATATATATATATATATATATATATATATTATTAT